TAAGATGGTGGAATAAAAATATTTTTAAAAACATTTTTACTTATATCAAAGAGGTTGAATATGAGATGATTGATTTAGAGAAGGTTTATATGGATAATTCTATTTTTGATAACCTATATGCTCTTAATAATGCTAAAATTAAGCTTTTTCTATTACAATATCAGGAGGAAACTTATTGGAAATAGAAAGCTACCTCAAAAATGATTGTGGAAGGGGATAGAAATACTAAGTATTTTCATGCGTTGGCTAATATGAAGAAGATGAGAAATAATATTTTTAAAATGGTGAGTGATGAGAGGAAAACTTTAGAGAATGAGGATGTCATTATTATTTCTAGGGTGGAACATTTCAAGAATATCTTTAATAATAATGTTAATATTATTCCTTTTTCTAATCCTTACATTGTTCCTTATTGTATTAATGAGAGTGACAACCAAATGCTGGTGAAAACTTCTTCTGAGGAGGAAGTTTGGAATATCATTACGGATATGAATAGAAATTCTGCTGATGGTCCTGATGGTTTTACCACTAAAATTTTTTGTTAATTCTTGTAATATTATCAAGCTAGATGTTTTAGATGTGGTTAAGGATTTCTTTAATGGCAACTCTTATCCAAAATTCTTCTCATCTACTAATATTGTTTTAATTCCTAAAAAGGATGTTGCTAACAATTGGAATAATTTTTTTCATATCAGCATATGTTCTTTCTTTAATAAACTTATCTCTAAATATATGGCTTCAAGACTTCTTAACATTTTGCCTAAAATTATATCTTTTAATCAAACTAGTTTTGTGAAAGGAAGGAGTATCTTTGATAATGTTCTTCTTGCTCAAGAGATTACTCATGATATCAATTCCAAGGTAAAAGGTGGTAATATTATTTTTAAACTTGATATTACTAAAGCTTATGATAATTTGAATTGGAATTTCCTATACATTGTTTTATCGTTATGTAGTTTCAGTCAAGCTTTTATTCAACTGATTAAAAATAGTATTGAGAATTATTTCTTTTCTGTTATCATTAATGGGAGAAATTATGATTTTTTTCAGTCTACGCAAGGTTTGAGACAAGGTGATCCTTTATCTCTTGCTCTTTTTATTATTTCCATGGATTATCTTTCAAGGGGTTTGGAGGAGTTACACAAAAGACATCCTAAACTACTTTATCGTACGATGGGGGGAATGCCGATTACTCATCTTAGTTTTGCTGATGATTTTATTATTTTCTCTAATGGCTCTGTTATTAGTTCAATTTTTAGTTAAATTTTAGAATATGAGTGGTTTGGCTATTAATAAAGAAAAAGGTAATTTTTTGGTGTCTAAAGCGGTTAATCAAGGTAGAATTAATACTATTAAATGTATCTATGATTTTAATTGCATTTCTTTGCCTATCAAGTATTTGGGTACTCCGATTTTTAAAGGTAGAAAACGAAATCAATTTTTTGAAGAGATTATTACTATTTTCAAAAGAAAATTGCTAATTGGAATTCAAAATTTCTATCTTTTGTTTGCAGACTAGTTCTTATTAAAAGTATTTTAAATTCGATTCACATCTATATTTTTCATACTTTAAATCCTTCTGCTTCTATTTGTCTTAGATTAGAAAGAATGATAAATAAGTTTTTTTTGGGTTCAAAAAATAATAGTACTTGTATCTATTGGTCTTATTGGAACAAAGTTTGTGGTGTCTTAAATGAAGGAGGATTAGGGTGCAAAAGTTTTATGGATACAGTAAAGGCTTTTCTTACAAATTATAGTTTGCTTTCAGATCTAATATTAGTTTGTGGGCTCAATTTATGAATGTTAAATACTGCAAAGGTTTTCATTCTACCTCTTGTACTTATAAAAGAACTGACACTCTGGTTTGGAAAAGGCTTTGTAACATTAAATGGGAAGCGAAACATTTTATTCAATGGGGTTTGGGCAAATGTGCCATTTTTTCTGGCAAGATAATTGGTTAGGGATTGATTCCAATGGTAATCTCTTGAATACTTATATCATGTTTAATAATAAAGTTCATGAGTTCTTAGATAATGAGACTTGGAATGTTATTAAACTAAAAGAGACTATTCCTTGGGAATTAGGGAGTATTATTGTTGAGTTGCCTTTACAATTATAGTGCAATTATCGTATTTTATTTAAATCTTCTCCTTCTGGTAATTTCAATCTTAAAAATGCTTGGGAGAACTTTCGGATTAAGTATAACAAGTCTGTGATTTACTCTGCTATTTGGCACAATAACATTCCGTTATCTTATTCCATTCTTGCTTGGAGATGCATGAAAGGTTTTCTTCCCGTCGATACTTTACTTATGAAAAAAGGTTTCAGCATCACGTCTAAATGTCAGTGTTGCTTTAATATTGAGAATATGGTCCACATTTTTGTTAATGGTAATAATGCTAAGAAACTTTGGAGATATTTCTTTGACATTGCCCATAAAGTTAATTTTGATCAGCATGATAGTATTTTCTCTATCCTTGAGTCTTGGGTGACTAAGTCTAAAGGCCATATTTATAATTTATTACCGATTCTTATTTTGTGGTATCTCTGGAGAGCTAGAAATGAAGTCAAACATAATGAAATTCAAATGGATGCTATTCAGATTATTGCTAATGTTAAAAACAAAGTCTTACATCTTCTTGCCACTAACATGATTTCGGAAAATTTTTTTAAAAAATGTGCTGGTTTAGCCTTATATTTTGGTATTTCCATGAATTCTGAATCTTTGATTACTTTTGATAGAATAGTGAGGTGGTTGAAACACGTTTCTCCTTTTTTAAGCTTAACTGTGATGGTTCAGCTGGTGTTAATGTTGCGAGAATGGGTGGCATTATTTGAAATCTGCACGGTGCTGTTATTATTGCTTATGCTCTCCTTTAAATCACTGTAAGGTTATTCATACTAAGCTCATGGGTTTGTCTGTTGGTCTTGATTTCTGTCATAAGAAAGGTATTACTAATGTGACTATTGAGGTGGATGCTTTGAGTTTAATTCAGATTATTCAAAAGGAGAATATGGGTTATCCTAATCTTTTTATATTTTTAGAAGAATTAAACAGTTGCTTGCTGACCTAAATTATACTATTGCCCATATCTTTCATGGGGGAAATGCTTGTGCTGACTGGTTGACCAAGTTTGGGTTCTAGAGTGTTTTTGTTAAGGAGTTTGAGGAGTCTAATTTGCCTGTTTTATTGAGAGGCTTAGTCAAGCTTGATAAACTGGGTTTACCTTATATTAGAACTGACTAGTGTTTTTTTTCTTCTTGGTTTGATGGGTCTTTTATTTTCTTCGTGTCTTTGATGTGGCCATTTCTGTCTTGGTTTGATTGTCTTGTTGATCTACAAAGATGTTGCTAGTTGGGTTAATCTTTGGAGTTATGGCTGGGAGGTGGATTTCTTTGTTTTCTGGCTCTGTCTTCTTTTTCTAATTTTGTTTGGTATTGCTGGATGGGGAGAGGTATGTGAGGGGCTATGTTTCTTTGAGGCCCTTTAACATTTATCTATGTTATAGAGTGATTGTTGGTTCTTTTCCGAAGTTCAGGATTCTCCAGGTGGTGAAGGTGGTTTGGCATACTGTTTATTATTATTTTGATCTTTATGTGCATCTTAATTTGAATTGGAACTATAATATGTTTTTCAGTTTTTTTATGGGTGCCTCTACTCGGCCGAGCACTTCCAATCTCCTGTCTCAATGGGGCTGTGCTGGCTACAACAATGTTGGTTTGTTTCAGAACTTTTTGTGGCTGGACAATGTTGGGAGTTTACCTCTGATGATTGGTAATTTTGTTTATTGTCTGTTATTTTGCTTTTAGGTTTTGTTGTGGTTCTTTTGCAGGTTTACTATCACCTGGAGGGGATTTTTTGTCAGAAAGTTTGTGCTGATTGTTTTAATCTGGATCTTTTTGTTTTCTGGGCGCATTCGTGGTGCCACCTTAGAGTGTATCTAGGTAATTTTGTATTTTGGTTAGATGGGGACAATCAGCTCTTAGTTTTTTCTTTCTTTTAATGATTGTAGCTCTTCGAGCATTAGTGGGCTGAAGTCCCCTTAAGGACTATGTAATTTTGTTTTATATTAACTCGTAGGCCCCTCTATGAGTTTCAACTAAAAATAAAATAAAATAAAATAAAAAAAAATATCTGGAAAGTAATAAAAAGACAATAAGCAAACATGAGCGTGACAACAGATTGGAAAGTAAAACAATGAGAAAGCTGCCAATAGAAAACCTTAAGTTATTGCTATTTTAGGGGCATCTACCATAAGATTTAAAAAAAAAAATTTCATAAGGGAAAATTTAGCCACATGCTTGAAATCTATGGGCATGATGGAATAATTTAAATGAAAATTTGAATCTGATATAAATATGGAAAGGTTGGAAGTAAGTTAGAAAATTTAAGACTATTTGGATAAGCCTATATATATTTAAATACTGTGGTTTGAAAACCTGCCGGCAGTGCTTTTTTTTTTTTCCCCCATTTTTCTCTCTTTCATTATCCAAGCCTTTGCATACTTAGCAATTTTTCCTATTCACACCATACAGCCAAATTCCATCGCTTCCAAAAAATTCTCTTAGTAACCTCATATATTATCATCTTCCCATACATAACTACAGTTGAAATTTATCTGAAACAAATGAATAATGCCTCAGTAATCTTAACGCCCCTCTTCATCACAATTCTTCATGGAAGAAAAAAATTTCAGAAAAAAGAGAGTAATTTTTTTTCTAAATTTTTTTCAGAAAAAAAAATCTCACCTCTTTTCCAGGATGAATTTTCTAACTTTTGAATATTAATTCAAAATTTACAAAATTCATCAAGAGCAACAAAGCCATGAGAACATTCGGTTCATTTGAGACATCTTTCTTACTACTTTATAAAATAATTTTTAAGTAGAAAATTTTCTAATTCAAAAATTTTTTTACTAAAAAATTGCTTTAAAAATAGTAAGAACGCTATCCCAAACAGAACTTAAATATTTCTTCACTTCTCGTCAATCAAAATTAAGCTAAATCATTATCAAGCTGTGACTAAAATTATATTAGAATATCCTGACACAAATTATCTCATAATGAGCTTCATTATTATTAAATTTAACTTGAGATCAATGCAATATAAAGTCTTCATATATCCCACTAATCTCAAAATAAACTCAATAATATTCGAAAAAAAATAGGTAAGAATATACTGACATAAATTGCATTATTATAAGCTTGAATGCTCTTGAATTTTCAAGAGCAATGAAGCCTATTCTAATGATAATTTTGTCAGTATATCCGTACACAAATTCTTCATTATTCAAACTCATTCCGATTCTAATTTGTACCAGAATATCCAGACAAACTTCTTCTCATCAAGATGCCCACAGTGTTTCTTCCCTGATGGTGCCATGGCTGTTATCGTCAAGAAGGAAATCATCCAAGCCTTCAAAGGGATTCAAAGCAGCAGAAGGAGAGTTAACTGGAAGCTGTGGCAAGGAGGAGAAGTCCATGTCCTTGTAGAAGAGAGTGAGGATTTGGGCGTGTTGGGTCTCGACGGCGAGGAGCTGGGCTCTGCAGCGAGCAAGCTGCGCCTGGAGATCGACTACTTGCTTCTGTAAATAGCAGATAGCGCCGGCGCAGCCGTAAACCGGGTCTCTGATTCTTACGTTGGCCTCGTAGACCATGCTGCTCACTGCGTCTGCTCTTTGGCTTTCCGGCAGCTCCTGATCATTATCCGGCGAGCTAATGTCAGAATTAACGGGTATTGTTACATTTTAATTAAAAAGTTAAGATTAATTTGATATGTTACATTGTAGTTAATATTTGATCATAAAGAATTTTGAAATTCTGGAACTTATTTTGAAAGAGTAAATACAAAAAAATATTGACTGTTCATGAATCATCTCAAAATCAAATTTTTTAAATTCATGAGATATTTTGACCTTAATTTTCTCTAATAGTTTTTTTAAAAAATACGACTAACGTCAAAAAACAAGTAATTAAAGACAATTTTAATAGAAATTACGATAACAATTAAAATATAATCACATTATAATCCAAATTATCAACAGCAACAGTCAAATCACGCAAAATTTTCCAGCACAGCTCCATGAAGCGTAGATAAAAGAAGAGAACAGCATAATTACTTGCAGAGATTTGATGATATTGCTGGCGCCGAAGACATGGTGAGCTGTGGTGAATTTAAGGGGCTCGGTGGGAGGAAAGTAAGGTGCGAGAATGCATTGGTTGGCGCAGCGGCGGCGGAGAATCTTACAGGCGGCGCACGGGCTCTGGTAACTAGTCTTGGGAGTCTGGGCTTGAGGGAGTGGAGGGGAGGAGGAAGAAGAAGAGGTGGAAGAGAAAAGAGGATAGAGGCTTGATTCCATGTTCTAATGCAGGGTGTGAAAAGGAGGATTGGAGGTTGGAGTTTCAGGCCTTGACTGAATATGTTGGAGAAGGGAAGTAGCTTTATTTATAGAAGGGGAATGGGACTTGGCAAGCTTGGGTTTGGGATATGGGAGGAAATTCTAATTAGTAATTGGATGATTGGGATATTAATATTTTATGTTTTGTATGATATTTAATAGTTTATAATTGTGTCAGCCAATATTAATTTTTATATTTTTATATTTTAATAATTTGTTTTTTATTTTTTAATACACAATAAGGATGTCATTCTTATAAATAAACTTAATTGGGATAGTTTTATTATGCTTTCTAAAACTAACTTTTTTAATACAAGAATTTTTAAACAGGAAAATTTTATAGTAAAAAGCAACAGTTGTCAAAACGAAGTCTTAGGCTTCGTTTCGGACGGCTTTTTTATTGCTTTTTAAAACGGAGTTTTAGTAAAAAATAAATAAATAAATTGTACTAAAACTTCGTTTTAGAAAGCAGTAAAAAAGCTGTCCCAAACGAAGCCTTTTCGGACGGCTTTCTTTCTGCCTCTTAAAGCACTTTCTAGTAGAAAATTAAAATTTTTGTACTAAAAAGTTGGAAAGCTGTCCCAAACGAAGTGTCCGCATTAATTTGTTACTAGTATTGGTGTATTGAGGGTGATTAAATCATCCATTTTTTTGTCTCAACTATAATTTTAAATATTTAATGAGCTAAATATTAACAAAGTCACGTTCTATTGTGTTGGTCATCTTAATTATGCTTATATAGACATAAAAACATGAACATATAGTGTGCGTCTATATATGTACATATGAATTTTTTTAAAAAAATAATATATCCTGAAATAAATTAATTTTGGTCATTTACTTGGCAAATTGAGCCAAGCAATTGTGACATCCCAGGTCCAGAAGGAGATATGCCTCAACAAGACAAGACGTGATGAGAGGATAGAGGCTATGGGTGCAAATGAGCAGAGTCATCTTAAGCTTGACTCGTTAAACAACTCACGAGTCAAGTTTATCAAGTTTTGAACTCGAGCAGAATTTCGAGTTTGATCCATATTAAGCCCGGCTCGATTACTCGATGAGCGGCTTGAGTGCGGAAGTGGAGGTAAGCTTGGATGTGAAAGGCGGAAGGGGAAGCTAGGGTGTGGCTCGGACTCAAAAGGTGGGGGAGGGCTTGACACGCTCGAACGTGGAACCCTGAGGTAGGCACAGACGCGAAACTGGTGGCGGGCTCGGATGTGCTTGCGAGCTAGCATCCAGTGCCGCGAGTCAAGCTCGAACTCAACTCGAGTTCATGCTCGGGATTCGGGCATAAGTCGAGATCGAGTTAGACATGACTCGAATTCAACTCGACTCATTTGCATCCCTAATAGAGTGCGATCGTATGCGAATGGGAGCAAATTAAGTTTTGTCTGGGAAGCGGGGGCCTGCCAGTTAGTTTGCATCACCAGCCAAGACCGGTGCCCGGGCCCATTGATATATTGATCTCTAAATTAATTCGTTAATAAAATGCAACCCTCATAATTTTCTTTCTTTTACATTGAACGGGTTTTTAGTTATTCTGTAGATGATTGACGCATAATCCGACAATCATTTCTCTGTCACCATTAAAATAAAAGCACTTTGTACAACTAGAAAAGCTTTTTTTCTTTTATTCGCGATTAGGTATGCTTTGTCCTTGCTAGTAAATTTGTCTTCCCAGGTCTCCGTATTTCCACACGGCAATGGCAAGCCAAGACCAAGAACAAGTGGAGCATAATTAGTAGCGAAAAGAAAGCTTAAACTTATTTTCTCATATATTTATGATGTGTGTTACATAAGACTTGAAGATACAGAGATTGACGGCTGGATTATTAGCTAGCATTTTATTCATATTTTCAATAGGAATATAGGATTGTGTTCACATAAGCGTAAGTATATGACATACATGCATGCATAAAATGGGCAGCTTGTGAATCTAATTAATTAAAATAATTATTGATATATCATAAGAAAAATTATCTTGATCGGACACGAATCTTGAGGCAAAATCCAGTTGGAAATTTCATAAATTAAATCTAGGGTTATCTTAACTCCGATTTCAGCAAATTTAAAGTCGAACTGAACGTCTAAGAAATACGAAACCAATGACATCAAATTCGACTCAATCCGAGCCCAAATGGGTCCAAATCAAAGGCTTAAAGCGTATTTGGAAAGTTCAAACCATCAATTGGATAATCAAATGATTTACAAACATGACATGCTTTTAGTCGAATCGAGCGGCTCGACGATACGAATCCAAGGGTCCCAAGATTGTCAAATACTGAAATCATTAAGATATTTAAATACCGAGTCAATTGTCTACAATTTAAGAAATCCACATTGACTATCCATTCAAATCACTCACAACTTTTCCTTGATCTTCCTCATATTTACTGGCTATGCCACTATAAGAAAAGTATAAATACACCCATCATTTCTCATGAAAGAGGACCCAAGCAAATAAGAGATAAAAAAAAAGGAAGAGAGCTTTCTTACCACCAGACTTATGCTCAACCACCGAACGATGCCGGATTTCCGCCAAGCCACCGACTGACGTCAAATTTTTGCCTGGTCACCGACTGACGTCGGACTTTCGTCCGATCTATATTCTTCACTAGATTTAAACATGATCGTTGACGATTTTAATCTGATTGTCCTCAGTTTCATAGGCGAATCAGACACTTGTAATATTCAAACATTAGTGAAATCATTTCAATTGGGCATGATCCCGTGTTTTTCACTTTTTTTCAGAGGTTTACATGTAAAAAATTTGATATTTTTTTTCTCTAATGTTTGTGTGCTGGATATACGAACAACATTAAGACAAGAAAATCTAACTATATCGTCGCATAAATTATAGTCCGCAACAATTATAATAAAAAAAATGAAATAAATGTAGTTGCCAGAGATTCGATCGACTGGTAGGTAACTGGGCAACAGTGTTTATAACAGGAGACAGGTTACCTAGTCACCTACTAGTCCATAGGCAGACCCCCCATGTACTCAGGGTTGTCAAAAGCCCACCCTAAAAAAGAAATATTTAGAGAGGGTATTTTGTTATTTTGAACCCCCCCCCCCCCTTCAAAAATCTTTTTTGGCTTAATTTTATCAATCATAAGGGTCTTTGCCCATCCCCAATTTTTTTTTTTGTTTTTGCCCATCATGAAAAAAGAAGCTGAAACCGCCCCTATACTAGTCGCCTGAATATTGGGCGATTGCCTTGTTTAACAAACCCTTATTTTCAAATAAGGAACGATTTGTATAGTTATCTATGAGTTTTTTGGGTAATTCTTTGTCACCGTGTATCATAAATTCTGATATGTGATGTTATTTTTTGATAAATTGAAATAAGGGTTTGTTTGGGACGGTTTTCTTACTACTTCTTAAAATATTTTTTAGTATAAGAATTAAAATTTTTACTAGTAAAAATATGCTTTAAGAAATAATAAAGAAAGTCATCTTAAAGGAAACCTAAAGAGATGATGGCATAAATTATAAAATCTCCTACTTGAAATGACAAGATTCGTTTTTTATAATGATTGAGGTTGTAGCCGTAAAGGTCTGTTATGTATAATGAAGGTGATGTGCAAATTGAATTCATTTTCATACAATCAAATAATTGACTTCATAAAATCAATTAACTAAATTATTAATTTATTATTTACTACTAATATAACCATGTACTCATTATGTTCTAATTTAATTACACATAATTTCATTAATTTATAATAACTGAAAATTTACAATATAAATATTCTAAATAGTATAAATTAACTCAACTTAATAACAAACACAATGTTCAGTAATGAATATATTGTTATATATGCTTTTACTAATGTGTACAATAATATTTATTTTATCTATCATGCAACACATAAAAATTATATGAAAAATTGCTACTAATAAGCATCAGGCAACCATATATACTAGTGGAGCAGCCTTAAGTAAATCAGGACTATTGGTCCATAACATACTTATACACATCCACCGTACACAAGGGTAAAGTATCACACTGCACTCACGATACAGGACACTCAGCTTTATATATTCATTTCTTAGTGTAGAAGAACCAGAGCTGATATCATTTTACCAATGGTTAATACATTCTCCTCTTACAGTCTACCGTATTCTTACATGTAAAAGGTAAGTTTGTTTTTATCTTCTACATGGTATCAGAACAGTAATACCTCACGATATATAGACATGGAGCAATTGGAAACTTCTCGAGTAGAATCATTCACCAATCCTAAAATCCCCTCTTCACTCAAGTTTGTCATATCCAACATCAAAGTCATTGTTCACCCTCTCCTCTCCTACGACACTTATACCACTTGAAAATCGCAAATTCTCAAACTCTTCTCTCTAAATGGATTCTCCAACTTCTTCTACGGCACAAACCCCATCCCACCTCAGAACATTTCCGGTTCTAACTCCAAATTAAAAGAAACCCCAACTTACAAGCAATGGCTCCTCGTTGATTTAAACCTAGCCACTGCCCTTTGCTCCACCCTCACAACCTCAAATTTTATCTACGTTTATAATTTCAGCACCTGTTGTGAGATTTGGATAACCCTCGAGTGTCATGTCCAAGCCACCAATAGATCCAGAGTAATACAACTCAATAATGAGCTGCATAATGTCTCTATGAAGAGCTCCTCCATGAGTAAGCACCTCGCAAAAATTAAGACCCTAGTGGACCATATATCCGCTGCCAAATTTACAATTGATTATGAGGACATTATCCTCTACACTCTTAATGGGCTACCACCTCAATATCATTCTTTCAAAATATCCATCAGAGCCCATCTTAATCCAGTGAACCTTGATGACTTCTACTCATTGCTGATTATCGAAGAAATCAACCTGGCCATTAACTCCACCAAATCCCAGTTGACTATGAATCCTTCCTACGCTTTCTATAGCAAGAGAGGGCGCAGCTACAAGGGTCGTGGCTATTCTACACCCAACATCCCTCCTCAGTCCTCTAGCCCCAATGCCCCT